AGAATTCCCCAGCCAGCCATGGGAATTCTGGGAGTTGAAGTCCATACACCTTAAAGTTGCTGACGTTGAGAAACCCTGGGTTAGAGAATGTTGTCTGAGGGTGGGAATGAGATGAATTTGTACCAGTAATTTGTTTTGCAGGACTTAGAACTTTGGCATCTAGGCTGCTTTCTAGAAAGGATAGCATACTGATAGCGCCACAACTTTTCCTTCCCCTTTTGTTTGACAATATTTCTTTTTGATGAAAAATGCAGAGAGGAAGTTTGGCTGCAAAGGGAAAAGAGACAGAGGAAACACATTAAATTAATTTTATTTGGCCCAGAACATTTCACTTGAAAGATGCAAAGTTGGAACTGTCCAAAATGTTTAGCAAAGCAATTTATTAAAAGCTTGTTTGTAGCTTCAGCTCTTTTAAAACAGGAGCACCCAAGGTATATGTTGGCCTCCTCCATGAGCCGCAAGCATGGTTGGTTGATAGCATAGCATCACCGAAGTGGTATAGACCAATGTCTCTCAACCTTGGCAACTTTAAGATGCTTGGACTTCAGTGCTGGCTGGGGAATTCTGGGAATTGAAGTCCACACATCTTAAAGTTGCCAAGGTTGAGAGACATTGGTATAGACAATATTTGGAGCCTGGTTTTGAAAATTTCAAGATGATAGGGCTCCCTTAAACCTGTACAAATGAAGACACCCATTTCACCAGTTAACCCAACCACTCTGGTGAAATACAACTCATGTATTGGTTATAAATGTATGGCTTAAGAAATGAGATTGCTCAGCTATCTTGTCAGGTGAAATATTTTTGCCCCAGAAAGCACATTCATTGAACAAGCAAATGATCTGTTGACCCACCTTTTTGAAGTCTTTTCAAATCTTTGGACGTATGTCTTTAGAAGATAGAAAAGAAATGTATATATTTTTAAGTAGCTGTGTAAAGTAAGTGATTTGTGGTGGGGGAGGAAAAAATGTCTTTTTTCCCCCACTCCTAAAAGGCAGGCCAGGCCTGTAAACAAAATTCCTGTTCCTGAGCATCTTTTTTTTTTTTATGCATAGGTTGGTGCGGGGTTTTTTTTAAAGGAATATCCCCATGTCATTGTTTTAAATTTAAAAGCAAAGTTGAAATCTATTACACACGGGGAATCTGCACAGAGTTATTTTCTGGGTTTATTGGTGCTGATTCGTGGATCTGCCTGATCGTTGCTAAAACGGACATGCTGTGGATCTTGATCAGGAGGATGAGACTGCCTAGCCTCAGTTGAAATTTTGCACTGGATTCTCCGGGACTACACCAAACTCCTGATATGAAAAAGGGAACTTCTTGCCAAGGGTGATGGTAGCCGAGCTCTGGGGAGAGACTTGCATATTTAACATGTTTTCTGAATGCAGCTATAGTGGTTTATTTATCAGCTAGGAACTACAAAAATCATGGCTTAGCTCAGTGTGTCAGTTTTTATGTACAGCTATTAAAGAGGGGAGAAAATACATTTTAAGTGATGATAACAATAGTAAAATGCCTGTCAGCCCTTTCCCCAGGCTGATCTGCCCACAAATGTTAGGCTGTTTGTTCTTCTCCAATGATCACCTCACAACTACAAGAGAGGAGACATGTTTAGAAACAGCAGGCAAGTATAGAATATCTCTATCCCACTCTAGAGATATGCACAGCACTTCCTTGGCTATTTTTAGGCATTCTTCTTAAAACTTTTATAATTTTTTCCCCAGGAAGTTTTAGATAATTTTACTACATCCTGTATCTGTTCTGTTTGTTTTAATTCTTGTTAATCATTACATTTAAGTCTTTGATATAAAAGTCTAAATATTTTCAGTAATTACACCAGGCAGTGCTCCTTGAAGGAAGAGCTCACACATGGCACACTGTGCTTTCCAAGAAACCCTGAGGTAGAACACCATGCAGGAATGTATTGCTTGGATGTGGTAAAACTACATTTCCCAGGATCCCTCTGCCAACATGGAGTGTGAAAGTCCCATGTTGGCAAAAGCTGGTTGGGAGGAAGGGGCAAAGAATTTCATGCAATCAGGATTCTTTGCTAAATTTATCAGTGCACAAATCTCTTTGCCTCTTCTTTGCTCCTCCTCCCTGCCCCTAGAGATAACTTCTCTGTCCTCTTTAGATATCAGAGACTCCTTCCAAGTACTTTGTCTTCTTTTATTGGTGTAAACTCAGATGGAACACTTAAAAAAAAAAAGACTTCAGCATTAAAAGAGCTGTTGGGATGGAAGAAAGCACATTCAGCTCAGTTCTGGGTTTGAGCTCCATGTTTTGGGTTTGCCCTGTATTAGATGCAGATTGCATGTTCAACAGTGTTTAAATTTCAAGAAGAATAAAGATATCAAAACACTGCAGTACTAATTTTAGAGACCAGAAATGTTTCTGTGTACATGTAAGTCAGCTTAACCCCAGTTGTCATAGTCCAGAGATTTTGGAACTGAGACTCTCAGAATCTCCAGCTGTTGGTCATGCTGGTTGAGGATGCCAGAAGTGGTCCTCTCAGCCTGCTGCATGGATCCAGATTGGGGAAGGCTACTTTTAAAGAAAATTCATTACAATTTGGAAGCTGCCATTTGATGGACATTGTATTCCATTTGTTAAACTATTAGCTGCTTTTATGAAATGTCATTGATATCATGGGGGAAGATGAGAGTGGGTTTTTTTCCTCACTGTTGAACATTTCTGTTGATCAGTAATGCTATACGGGGGCTTAGCTAGGATGGGAAGAAGGTGGGTGAGGCATACATATGGGGAGAATTCCCCCAAGTTTTTCAAACTACAGAAAGTATCCAGAAATATTCTCCTCCTTAGGAGAGACTTGCCAGGTCAGCAGTTGTATTCTCTGCCTCTGATCCAATTGAGCTTCCTCTTACATTTGATTCACCATGATGGTGGGTCTCTGAACAGATCTGAGTCTGGCAGCTCTGGAGCCCTCTGGTCAGACTACCAAGTGGGGGTGGGGGTGCTGCAGATATAGGATTTTTGCTTTGCTTCATTTGTCCCCAAAATGTAAGTCTGTTCCCTCCGTAGCATCTTAGCAGCTCTGTGAGTTTGGTTTCTGATCTTCTTGCCCACTGTGGAAGAAAGAGCTCTCCTTACAGAGCTGATTTCTCAACCCTTTTGTGTTTCCCTCTGCAGTTGATGAAGAGTTTGAAGAGGCTTTCTGAATTGCCAATCACAATTGACATTCTTCTGGTAAGAGTTATTTTGAAACCTAGTCCCACTGGAGATTCAAAGCATTGCTGTCCATGTTGGAGGTTCTGCTGAACGAGAAGTTGCAAATCGGAATAAAAGTGGGTGATCTGTCTGAAGATTTTATTTTTTATTTATTTAAAAAGATTTATATGGCTGCTCATCTTAAACAACTCTGGGCGGCTCACAACAGCAGTAAAACCCAATAACTATAAAACATAACTATAAAACAAAACCAAAAAAAAACCCATGGTGCCATAATAATCTTCTTGGATGAACTTGGTCTTTTTCTGAAGAGACAGAGAAGCAGTTTTGAGGCTGAGGCTGAGATACCTTGACTGATCGCTGGGAGCAATATAGGATCACTATAGTTCTTACTTTCTTTCAGACCTTTTGGTGACTCTTTCTACTCTGACACAGTATCCTTTGAATCATCTAAGCCGGGATGGAGCTAAGTCTGTCATGTTGTGATGGCTCTATCCTAATTACAAATGGGAAAGTTCAGAAAGGACCTGCAGAATATATAAATATCTTGACTGCTGTAATGCGCTCTACATGGAGCTGCCCTTGAAAAGTATCCAAAAGCTTCAGTTGGTTCAGAATGCAGTGGCCCGCATAGTTTTGTGCAAGCCTAGATTTGCACATGTGTCACCTCTCTTGCAGGAGCTGCATTGGCTGCTGATTAGCTTCCAGGTCCAATTCAAGGTGCTGGTTATCACCTTTAAAGCCGTACATGGCTTGGGGCCAGGTTATTTGAAGGACCGCCTTTTCCCAATTTCATCTGCCCGACCCACCAGATCGGGGAGGCAGGGTGTGTTATGGGTCCCCCCTATTAAGGAGGTCCATCTAGTGGGACCGAGAAGGGCCTTCTCCATGGTGGCTCTCTCCCTGCAGAGATAAAACTGGCCCCCACCTTGATGCCCTTCTGCAAGGCCCTGAAGACATGGTTTTGCCTGGGGGTCCCAGGTCAATCTGGAGCCCATCAAATGGCTAGTGTAAATGTGTTGTTGTCACCAGGGGGGTAGGGTGGGTGTAGTGGCTTTTGAATTTGGGATTTTTATTCCTGTAAGCCGCCTGGAGTCACCATGAGTGAGTTGGGTGGCCATATAAATTGCTTAAATAAATAAATATAAAGAAAAATGTTTTATTGCTTCACATATATCCTGCTAGGGCATAACTTAACTGCTTTCAGTAAGTCACAATTCGGCTGGGCTGATACACTGCATTCAGCCATAATTGGTTTATTTATTTTGGGCTTAGCATGTTGTATGAACCCAGATGTTAACTAGGCATCATTGTCAAAGCTGGTTTTCTACCTCCTTTCTGCAGGAGACTGGAGTAGGAAAGACTGTGAACGGTTTACGAAAACATGAACAGGTTGGGGACTTTGCCAAGAACTTGGTAGCGAGGTGGAAGAAGCTTGTGCCAGTTCCGCAGGAAACAGAACGGTGAATGGGTTTATGTAATATCTGTGCTCTCTAATGTGTCTTCTTGGTAGACAATATCCTCATATAGTTCATCTGCTGCCCTCAAGAACAATTTGAAGCTCTGTTTCCTGATACGGCTCCAATTCTTGGTGGAATGTGCCAAACTTCCCTGAAAGCTTTAATAGCAGGAGAGAACGTAAACAAGGAAAGAACAAGATGTTTTGATAAAAGAATGTGAAGGAAAAAGAAACTTGTCTTCCTAATTGCAGGGTTATTTCAGAAACACATAAAAACAGAGATCTAGTAATTGAGTCCACCCCCTTACTCAATGCAGGAACTCAGATGAGACATACAGTACATGTACGAGCTTATAGTCATATAGTCTAGAAACAGACTAAAAAATTGAGTTATCAGACACAGCAGCATCCTGTAGGAGCAAAAGTTAACAGGTTGGCTGCATTCTGTTTCAATGTTATTAAGAGCTTAGTGCTTCTCTACTGAATGTAATTCTTTCTGTTTTTCCTTTTTAAGGCATAATCTTGAACCTATAGAACAGGGCTATGACCGAAGCATCTCTCGGAAACGACAGCGAGACCTGTCTCCCAAAGAGGATGAAGAGGTCTACTCAGGGGCATATCAGCCTTCTTGCAGCCAGTCGTATGAGTCAGATTATGGAACCAAAAAGACCAAGAGGTATTCAGACCCTGAGAAATCCCATCATGCTGTAAGCTATGGTATTCCAGAGGACAGGACATGGGGGAGAGAGTCCTCTGACCAGGAGTGTTCTGACTATGGGCATGCAGTCTCACCTGAGCTCAGCGAAAGTCCTCAGGAACTATATATGGAGCTTTATCGTGCTGAAGAGCAAGAGAGGGAGCAGAAATCCTTTTCCCGAAAGGTGAATAAAAGCCACCAGTTTCAGGACAGACAAGAAGGAACTCATAATAGGAACTTCAGTGACTCTCAAGATAAAGCCAGTTCAAGTCGGAGCAAAGAGCCTAAATCTTCTCACAAAGAGAGGCAGCGACCAGATGCCAAGGGAGAGGAGAAGGCATCTGCATTTAGCTCAGAGAGACTGCCCAAAGGTTCTTCACTCCATGAAGCTTCCTTGTCAGGCGGCAGCAAGGAGAAGCTAAAGGCCCTGGACAGCATCAAACGAGACAAGAAAAAAGATGGCAGCGGCATCAAGAAGGAGAAGCCCCACATTGACTTGGAGGACACCTTGGATGACCATAGGAAGAAACCAAAAGCACATGACTTGGAGAGAGCCAAACCAGAAAAGATGAAACTTAGCTTGGAGGCTTTGTATGGAGATCGGGAGAAACAGAAACCTGAGGGTGATTTGTCCAATAAGAACAGGGAGAAGAAGAGTTCCAGCAGCTTAAAAACTCCTGAGGGAAAATCCAAAGTCTCTGAGCCAAACAAAAGAACAGTAGGCTTTTCCCCTTCCAGTCTTGGAGAGGGAGAAGTGGAAGATGAGTACGAACAGCCTACCATGTCCTTTGAGTCCTACCTGAGTTATGACCAGCCTCAGAAGAAGAAAAAAAAGCTGGCCAAGCCTACAGCACCAGTCCCAGAGAAAGACAAAGGGCATAGCAAGCAGAATGGTTCCAAATCCAGTGCCAAGAGCTCAGACTCCAGCCGGAAAACTCACAAGCAGGCGAGTGAGAAGAAGCAGTCGGCATCTAAAGCAAAAAAAGTAAGGGTCTTAATGGGGAACCATTGCTTCACCGGTACCTTTTCTCTCAGGCAAAGTGATGTGAAGGCAACTGGTACAATTAAGGACTTCAGTAGTCCAGTTCACACAGCACTCTGTCATAATATGGCTTATTTGGTGTTGGTGTTATGTGTCATGTGCACTGAGCCATCATAGTTTGTAACTCATTGCTTATCAATAGGCCTGATGTCTGAACTCAGCAAATGATGGTTCCTTCAGCAAATTGGTTAAGCAAATCAGGGCTTACAGGATGTAGAAGTCCATTTAGCACACTGAAATGAATGCCAGACAAATGTTCTGCAGGCTTCAAAGACAGCCTGCACTTCTGAACGTTTGGGCCCATTAATAACTAGTTCTGTCTTCTCTACTGGAGGCTTTTCAGATATGCTATAAATCAATATCCATTGTACCCATACTGGTTGAGGTTGATAGCAGTTGTAGTCTCATCCTTCTGGGAGGTGCCAGATTGGAAAAGGCTGAATCTAGTAGGAAGTGAATCCTATTTGAATTTTCCAGACTGAGCACTGAAATCCATTGAGAATGTTTAAATTCTCATCCCTCTCTTTGTGAAATACATCCCTCTTTAATAGCTTCCATTTTTTGATGTGCAGATATCTTACAAACTCTTTGCCTTTTTAATTTTTTTCTCAGTGAGAATGACACACCCAATATTTACCTGTAGCTGCATTAGGAGGTTATGTTCACTTATTAAAAGTATTGTTTCCCCAATAAATCCCCCAATAAATGTTTCTCAACAGAGAGGTGCAAGCATTACTGGTACATAGGTACATTTCTCTCCCCAGTGCAAGTGAATGGGGATGTCACTTTGTTTACTTGCTCAGGGAAGCAGTTCCTTAGTGGGGGGAGACCTTCATGTAACATGGGGACAGGTATTGATGGTCCCAGGGTTAGAAAGTACATGCTGGAAAGTAATTCCCCAAAGAAATGCAGTCTTGTGAAATCTCCTCATGTGGAAAGGCTGCAAATTTTAGCTTCTCCCCTGTTACTGTATGTTGGTTTGGCGCAGATAGGGCTGCTGTGAATTTTGTGCCTCTAAAAAGTTCACGTTATGAAAGAGAACAGCACTCTGCTTAGGGTTTAAATAAATCGAAGAAAAACAGTTGAGTGTATGAGGCAGTGCTATGGAAAGCAGAGTTAATGCATGTCTATGACATCAGCTTTATTGGTTTCAGGAGGAAGGAATGTTCTTGAAGTTGCAAAGAGGACAAAGTGTATGTAGTCTGATAGGAGATGACAGATTGGAACCAAGACAAAAAATGGTTGCTCATCCCTCATTTAGATTATCTGGTTCATAGGTTCCCACTTATTCTTTCATAATTGACTCTTAATACCTGGAATTTTACTTCTATGCAGATTTTCTAATGCAGTTTCTCTCTCTCTGCAAAGCATATATCTAGAAGCGAATATGTGTAGCTCAGAGTTGAACTGTGGAGTCCTTGGGGTTCCCTGAGCTTGGTTGTTTTCTTGCAAATGTTTCATTACCTGGCTATGTAACTTCTTCAGTGCTAGAATGGAATGGGGTTTGCTCTCTGATTATATACTGTGGCATGCCCTGCCAGTGCTGGTGTGGGTTTTGTTTTGTTTTATTTTTTTCCCCTCCGGTAGTTCCTTGATTAGTGTATTGTTCACTGCTTGATTGTATGTCTGGTGGTAATCTTGGTGTTAATCTCTGCTTATCTAGGTGATGATTGCTGATGAGGAGATGTTCTGGTCTTTTGTTTTCCTTTCTATTGTCTCTTTTGAATAGTGTGTAGACGTTGTTTATGTGCCTGTTGATGGCTGCCTTGTCTGAATTCTATCAGAAGACAACCCACACTAATCAAGGACTCCATTACCAAAGTAACAACCCAACCTCCAACAAGAGGAGCTATGTAAGAACATTATTCAAACAAGCACAAACGCATTGCAGCAACCCAGAACAGCAGAAAAAGGAAACAGACCACCTGTACAACATC